TTAAGTGTCAATTATTAAAAAAAATATACTGTTAATATTTACATGTCATTTTGAAAGTTTAAGATAATACATTTACCAAAAAAAATATCCAAGATAATATATATATATATATATATATATATATATATTTTAACAATCATGATTTTACATTTTTTACTTAATTTACACATGTATCACTATTATTTACTTGTTGTGAAATAAATGTTAGAGGCACTATTATTATTATTATTATTATTATTTATTAATTCAAATTTATTAAAAATTTCAAATTTTGTAAGTTTTCCCTCTCATTAATAAGTTTTTCTTTTAATTTAAAGATAGGATCATAAAAATTATAATTTTTTTGATCGATAGTAGAAAGAGCAGTGAGTAGTAAAAAAAAGTGTGATTTCTCTCTTTTTTTATTTGAAAGATTTAAATAAGAACGAAATATCCTTCTATCAAACAGGCCAACACCAATTAAGATACAAATTAAAATCATAAGGCCACTATACTGTGGATTGTATTTAGTTGAAATACCTAATTTAATATTTAAACAAAATTGTAAAATCCAAATAAAGCAGACAAAAAGAATATAGAAAGGAAAGATTAAAACAAGCCTGAATAAACTGACAAGTTAAAGAGACAATATACAAACTATATATACATAGGGTCTCGCTCGGTTTCACACACAATGTAAATCTCTCACGCCCTTCATCCATATATACAAACATATATATATATACGACGGTGGTACCTTAGTAATCTGTACCATACATATATTCACACTCTTTGAATCTCTAATGATGATCTACGAATGTCTATTCACAACACATTGTGGTTCAACTCATCTAAATTAATAAGCTTTTGAGTTTGACCTAATTAACTTGGGATATATATACTAAGCCGTTAGTCGTCGTTGTTTTTCTCAGAGGCCAGCCAAAACACAATGATATAACAGAAGGATGCATGCATGCACGGACGTGTGTTGAATTGAAGCCTTACTTAGTCAAGCCAAGATCGAAGGGTATACCAGTGGCGGGTAACCATGAGTTGGCTTGGAGCCATTGATCAGCAGTGTATTTGGCAGCATCACCCTTGGTTAGGACACCGCGGCTCCACTTAACCCTAGTTTTAACATCGGCGCCGGCGCCAGTGTTGGCATACTCAGCGAAGAAACACGTGTCAAGAAACTGGTTCCCTGACCAGGGTAGAAACCCATCTGGCTGAATCAAATCACCGATAGTGTTTTCCATGAAGATGGCCCTCGAATACGCCTTCCAGGGCCTCGCCAAGTACGACTTCACCGTCAACTTGGTGGGCTCCAGCGCCGCCTCCGGCAGGATCTGGCAGTTCTGAAGCACCACTCCCGTGGGCATGTTCTTCTGGTCCGTGCCGTCGGCGACAACTATGTTTTGTTGATTCGGGTCTGGCTTGCGCACTATGATCTTGGAACTTTGGATCAGGGTGGTGCCGTAGCCGAAGATGAAGTCCACTGTACCCGAGATTTCGCAGTTGCGGTAGAACTGACGGTGCGCGTGGGCGTATAGAGTGTCCTGGAATCCGTGCATGGCGCAGTCGAAGAAGGCGGAACGATCACCTTGCACGCGAAGCGCCACTGCTTGGTGTTTGCTCGCCCCGGCGGTGTTCTCAAATGCCATCGACTTTGCAATAAAATCTTCTGCAACCGTCGCTGCACATGCTCATCAAATATTCATCAGTCATTTAAGACAATGCTGAGGCTAGAATATTTTAATTAAACCTAGTCTATATTTTACATCAATATCTCATATTTATGGATGAAAAACCCATTATTAGAAGAAGAAAAACTAATTAATTAGGACGAGAAATCTAATAAAAAATTTCAATCACAATTTTCTTAAAAAAAATAAGACATGAGCAAAGTCTTAAAGATATTAAGATAATTAAGATTAATTAACTTAAGCGAGTGAAATCTCATGAATAAAAAAAAAAATGTTAGTTGGGTTGTCCAAGCTGGTGAGTCGTTCTCGGTGAGAAATAGTCATTATAAAGTTAGGTGATGCTTCATACGTTAAAGGAAAATATTTAATCTTAACATGAAAATAAAAATGGTGGAGACAAGTGGGAATAACTCACAGAATGTAGCAGTTCTAATTGTCTTCCAGCCATCCTTGAAGTTTTTGCTACCGGTGACAATGGTCTTAGTGGGGCCATCACCATAGATCAACAGATTGGGCTTCTTTTTGTCAACCGTGATGTACTCATCATAAACACCAGCCTTAACATAAATAACGTATCTACCTTGATGGTTCTTAGGGTAGGAGTTAATAGCATCCAAAATAGTCTTATATTGTCCACTCCCATCCTTTGCAACAACCGCATTGGGTGCAACAGAATTTCCCGCCAAAAGCTTGCGATCCGCGACGGACATCCACGACGGGAATCCATCTGGTTCCACGTCAAGAAGTCGCCGAGAAGACGAAGTAGGTTTTGTGCTTAGGTTCAAGTTTAACGCGTTGAGTATCTGCGCCAAACCTGCGACAATGTCAAGTGCTAACGCCGATAACTTTCCGAGGTTGTCTAAACCCCCGGTCTGCAACCTCGCCTGCACCTCTTTTTCAGCGTCCGAGTCGAAACCGTCAAGGCACGATTGCTGGTACGCTACGACCGCGCCCAACCAGTTTTTGAGGTCCGCAACGCGGTCGTGGATGTTGTTAATGTTGTTGTCTCTGACGAAAATCTTCGAGGCTTCTAATTCGTCGATGGCGAAGAACAACAAGTCTTTGCAGTCTTCGATGGCCATCTTCAAGCTAGAGTTCTGCTTGCCATTTTCCAGGACGATAGTGTCGCTTAAGTTGAAGGCTTTGATGACGTCGTCCATGGAGTTTTTCACCACCGTTTTTATGTAATCCGCTGGGTCTGAGGTGTTCACAGAGCTGAGGGTGTCCACGCAAAACTTATTGTCATCGGAGTCTTGGCAAGCGACTTGCACGGCTTTGGCGTGGGTGTTCAATTGACCGTCTTTGTTTTCATTAGTTTGGTTCGGGACGTTGTCGTCGCCGCCGCCGGTGGAGACCATAGCAACAACGCCCACGGCAACGCCCACTACGAGAATCAGAGAAACAGCAGAGATAAGTGTTGTTTTTTTTTCCATTTTCTTATACTATTTTTTTTTTGTTTTTTGTTTTTTTGTTTTTTTTTATCTGTGATGAATGGTTTTGTCCTCCCCTAGACGATTGTTTCGTATGAATGATAAAAAGGAGAAAATAGGGTTTTTTTCTTCCCTACTGTTTGTGGGGATATCGTATTGTGAGCATCGGTGATTGTCACCGAACCATTTCTAGAACTTGGATTTCCTAATGATGGTTTAAGATTTTATTTTTAGGGACGTTGACCATTTCTCTGAAACTAGATATTCACGGCTTTTGTGAACTCTGCTATAAATTCTTTGGCTTTAATTAATTTGCTATGCCAGGGAACTCTTTAGACATGTATTGCCTTCGCTGTATTCATCGCTTTGGTTACCCCAACTTTCAACCATTCAATTTTTCCCGTAGACAAAATTGCAAATTATGCATTTAATTTTTTGAGGAATTATGTTAGGCATATCTTAATTACAAATTTTAAGGTATGTTTGGGACATGCAGCGGATATTCTGTTTTTAAGTTTGATTTTCTCTTGTGTCAAAATAATATTTAGTTAAATAAAATCACAGAATACAAATTAATTTTTAATTATTAATTTTTGAATATTGTGTGAATTATGTTCATAGATAAAAAAAATATCTTAATTACAAATAAAACTTGTGATTTTAATTTCCTTAAGTTTAATTGCTCATATTTCATTAATTATTCAAATTAAATTTCTATAGTCAGGTACCATATATTATTATTTGCATAGATTCACAAAGGAAAAAAAAACAAAAATATTAAACAAAAATAATCAAGAAAAATAGCTTATCTATATTTTATTTTTTAATTTATAGTTTTCTTATTTTACTAACTTGTATAAACTAATGATATATACCTTACACCTTTACTTTATTATTATGTTAATTATTAGATATGATACAATTAAAAAATAGACTAATAACTATAAATAAATTATTTTTTTCACCATGTTATGAGTTTAAAATGATCATTAATTTTGTCCATAATTAATCTTTATTATTATAAAAAAATTATCATATAATGACATGCATCTTATAATGTCATAAAAATTGTTATTAAAAACTATTTTTATCTATATAATAAATATAATATATATTAGTATATTATTAAAAATGTAGATATAAGTTATAGTGACATATAAAATATAATGTTAAATCTTATTCAAAATTAATATTAAAATTATGTATAATTATATATCAAATAAATATATATTTACATATATTATATTTCTAATAATATTTTTTATATATCATCATATATAACATTTCTTATAACGTATTAATATATAACTAATTACTTTTAATGAGTTCTTCCTTCTTAACATTTTTTTATAAGAAAAATCAAAATAATTAGAGGATTCAGGTTTCTAATTTTCTATAACCTGTATCCATAGTCTAATCAAGGAAAAAAAATGATCAAAAGTTGCATCATGGAAAACACCGCGCGGAATTAATACATCAATATGAAAAATAATATGCGAGACCTCTTTATTACATTGGCTAAAAATCAAGAACATAAACACAGTTTAACGAGATCCATCAAACTAAGCAAGTCAAAGGACTCATTTTGAAACCCGATTATTATTTCTTATCAACCACATTGACCACACTTAGCATGCCAAAGAACAATCCAAGATTTTTTTTTTTTTCCTTATCTTTCTTTTTATTTGTCCTCTATGTTGTAGAAAATGTGATTCATCAGAATCAAAGATGGTGATAGACAACCCAGTCCAACAATATAAAGATGTCCAAACTTGTATAGCAATATAATAAGAAAAGAACATGTGATCAAATGTTTCCTAATGTAGATTGCAAAAGATGCATTTAGCTTTCAACACATTTTGAATAACACCTTGATAGTGTTGTTGAATTACTATAAAAAAAAATTATTAGATTCTTTCTTTAGATTTATAATATAAAAAATAATCTAAGTCAGTCTTCTCAAAAACATAAGTTAATCAAATCTAAATTTATCTTGCAAGAATGAGAATAGAGATTTAGGAAAAATGAAACAATAACTGTAAGAAAATTAAAATGCAAAACAAAATTAATTAAAATTTTCAATAAAAAATGCATCAATTTTACTATAATTCATGGAATTTGGAATTGATTAAGTGGATTAGTCACGTATATCTATCAAATGTTGCAATTATTTTGTAATGAAATTGTAAAGAGATAAATCCATGAGAGAGAAAGAATTTAGAGAAATTTGTAAGGGAAGAAACTCTTAATCTAAAAAAATGATTAAAAGTGAGCAAAACAAGTCTCTTAACACCTATTAATAAACTTAATTAGTGGGTCTAATCAAAATATTTACAAGTTTGTTTCACTAATCGTCTAATAACAAAACTAAGCTACTTCTAAAATAATTTCACAAAAAGAACTCCATACAAAGAGTAGACAGTACAAGAAAAATGTAAATTTCCGACGGATATGAATCCGTCGGAAATTTCCGACGGATTTATATTTCCGTCAGAAATTTCTGACGGAAATATAAATCCGTCAGAAATTTCCGACAGAAATTCCAGTCGTCGAGGGTGCTCGACTTCACCATCCTCCGGGCAATGGAATGGGAGGATGAGGTCAGAGGCTACATCAACGCCATAGGATGGGGATTCCTCCTTGATCCCCACCCTCAGATCTTCCCGACAGCGACGAAGGAATTTCTGGCTACCGTCGGCGTCACAGAGTCGACGAACAGCTTTGGCGCGACAGTCTACTCAGTGGATTTCTGGATGAGGGGAGGATACCGCTCCCTGACACTGGACGAATTCAACGTCCAGGCTGGCTTCTTTCAGCGAGCTGATCAGCTGGA